ACTTTTCTTCAAGAACATAGTGCAATCAAATTTTAATGCGTTCGTCAAGCAGACAATGCTTTTGTCATGTTATAATCTCTAAAAGGAAAAATCAGTATGAATAGAGAGTTAGGTAGTAAACTCAGAGGATGTACACAGCAAATTCAGTTCTCTGTTCTGTTATCTGAATAAATCTCATTTTCGCTAGTTTTATACCAGAAACGGTTTTTCGTCTCGTTTGAAATGAGAAAAAACTTTGGTATCGTCGATCAAACATGTGGCGAGAGTGTATACGACCATTCCACGTAAGAGTCCACCCGAGTGGGCAAAGTCGAAAGCTTTCATTCGATCACAAAGCTCCACGCTTTCTACATGGATCGATAGACTCAGTGAGGTAGTAAATACCCTGAAAGGATTTTCCCTCATGGCTATCGAAGACTCGGTTTTCTGAAAAGCGAGTTTCTCGAACACTCTAGAAAATATCCAAAACCATTTCTTAATGAGGAATAATTGTAGCCCACACATTTCTGATTAAATGAGACGCCTCCCAGCTCTACATGAGCTTTCTTTGCAAAGTTATAGAATTTAAAAAAAGTCCTAAATTAATTTCTTCTTATTTCTGTAGCTTTGAGCTAACAATGAATATTTCTTTGTAAATTCTATAACTGTGCAAAGAAAGGTCATGTAGAGTTGGAAGACTTCTCATTTGATGCAGAAATCTGCGGGCTACAATTATTCCTTGGTAAATGGTAACGAAAAAGTCATGCTAACATGACTCTAATGGCCGTATATATATATATACTCTCGCCACGTGTATGATTGACGATACTAACGGTTCTTTCTCATTTTAAACGAGACAAAACACAGTGCCTGTTATTTAAAGCACTTTATTTCTTAAAGTAGAATACTTTTATACTCGAACGTTTTGCAGGTTATATCTGCTTTTTGAGCCTTTTTGAAGTAGAACTAAATCATAAAAATAACCGGTTTACAGAGTAAGTACACAGCAGTTGCAGTGAGTGAGAGAATAGGGATATATAAAATCCTTGCTATTTTACTGTCGCACAGCTGCAAATTTTCTTCATTCATTTTGGGTAAGTTGTTTTTCATTCTATTTTATGACATATACGGACTTAGTGAATCTGCGAAAGAGGTGTACCTCAAAAGAAAACTTGTCCAAAAATCCGATATCTACCATTGTAACTAGCGAAAATGAGATTTATTCAGATAACAGAACAGAGAACTGAATTTGCTGTGTACATCCTCTGAGTTTACTACGTAACTCTCTATTCATACTGATTTTTCCTTTTAGAGATTATAACATGACAAAAGCATTGTCTGCTTGACGAACGCATTAAAATTTGATTGCACTATGTTCTTGAAGAAAAGTCCGAGTAAAACATAGTAAAATCAGTCGTAAATAACAAAACAGTGAGTGGAAAAATGTGGAACTAGTGCGTTGAAGCTGGCTGAAAGTTAGCAGTATACGCCGTTTTATGACGTCGTTTTTTGACGTGTCCCATCCTAAACGGTCGTATCCATTCCGGACAAAATACGACGTCTTAATCCTTCTCCACGGTAGACGTCATCGTATTGCGTCGCAAACAGCGCCGTATTTTAACGTATACTAGAGTATCGTAAAGTGCAGTATCATTCATCGTAAACTGTAGTATACGGCCCTTTACGGCTTTCGTAATCATCGTCCTGGGTAGGCATGCACCAATACAATATATTGGATTTCAATAATACTGGCCACCCAGTCTATTGGAACCAATAATTATTGGTCACCCAATCTATTGAGACCAATATGATTGGACATCCAATATATTGGGTTTTCACAATATTATTGGGTATTGGATCTCTTGAGATCGGCCTACCTTACGCCTGCGTTATATCCCGTTTTGAATCAAAATATAACTCAATTAGGCATACCTTTCTTAATGAGGCATTATTGTAGTCCGCAGATTTCTGATTAAAATGAGACCTCTCCCAGCCCTACACGACCTTTCTTTGCAAGTTAAAGAATTTACAGGAAAAGCCCTAAATGTTCATTGTCAACTAAAAGCTATAATTTAGGGCTTTTCGTGTAAATTCTATAACTTTGCAAAGAAAGGTCGTGTAGAGCTGGGAGATATCTCATTTTAATCAGAAATGTGCGGTCTACAAGCATGCTTCATTAGGAAAGGTTTTGGTTATCTTTTAGAGTTTCTGAAAACCTGATTTTCCAGAAAACCGGATCTTAGTACGATTAAGGACAGCTCCCATAATCATATTTGGAATCAGCATGGTCGATAACCTATAACCCACTAGACTTCGATCAAAAAGCGTTTTATCACCTCGAGAGGTTCCCTCGTTAGAACTGTCAAACGCCTCATTTTATAGGAAAATGTTTGCTCTACCAAACTGAGGTGCTACAAAAAATTTTAATGTTATATATAGAGAAAATACAATAAATCGCAAATCCACTATAATCACAGAAAAATAATCGAGAGTCGCTTTTTCCGCAATTTTGCTCAGTTTTTGATGCTTGTATTTCTATCGCAGATAACACTAAAATGTCTTTTTGCACTTTAGTTTGGTAGAGCAAACATTCTTCTACAAAATGAGACACTCGGCAGTCCTAAGTGATTTTCTATGACTGATTCGGAACGACTTTGCTGGATGTCCTAACATCGATTATTAATCGATGCATACCTAGTATCGATCGGGATATGCTTCCTCACGTTTCTATAAAGATAAATGATATTAAGGTTAAAAAATTGGAATCCAGTGTATTGTGGAATCCAATATTATTGTAAAATATTATTGGGTGGCCAATATTATTGGTCCTAATATATTGCGTATACAAAAATATTGGGATCCAGGATTATTGGATAGCCAATAATATTGTACAATACCTTCAATAATGATTGGTATTGGTACATGCCTAGTTCTGGGTGGCGAAGACTCTAATCACTTACAAAGTTTATCTAAGCAAGAAATGTTTCTGAAAATCAAACTCCTCAGCTTATCAAAAACCAGATAGTTCAAATTATGACTACGGATACTAGAAGGTATTTATGCACAATAGAAGAACAGCGTGCCGAAATTGCTTTGTACTTTCTCTGGCTCTGTGTTAATATTGACTTTTCCTTTGCAGACAGATTATGGCATGATGTAAGCATCGTCTGACTGATGAAAACGTTTTAAAATTAATTGCACCATGTTCTCGAAGAAAAGTCCGAGTAAAACATGACGGAATCAAGCGCAACGAAAAATTAGAATCGATTAGGCATGAGTTTCTTCAGATATGCGCTTGAGAAATAAAACGTCACTAGGGCACAGTTCGAAGCAGTTTTCCTCTTCAAAAAAACCTTTTGTAACTTGTGGCCTGCGGTAAAACTTGTACAGACACGCAGCTCTAAATAGGTATGCACCAGTTAAAAATTGGTGTTGGAACATCCGGGAGAACTGCCATACAACATTTATCACGATTCGCTGAGCTGTGAAACATCTCATTTTGTAGGAAAATGTTTGTTCTACAAAATACATTTGTTAAGGGAATCTAAAATGCACCAAATCACAGAAAAAAGACTATTCGAACAGTTTTTTTTCTATGATTTAATATATTTTTGAATGCTCTAAGTTTCCTTAGAAATGATTTCGGAATTTCCTTAGCAAATGTATTTTGTAGAACAAACATTTTTCTACAAAATGAGATGTTTCACAGCTCTGAGCGAATCGTGATAACAGTTGTATAGCACCGGAGGCTCCAGCACCAGTTTTTAAGTGCTGCATACCTAGCTGTGGGTACCTTAGAAAAAGAGAACGGTCGTGATTTCTCTATTTCTCGATAATAATGGGGCATGTTTGATTTCGGTGGTACGTGAAAAAATGTTAAAATGTTTCTCTTTCAAATAAAATAGCTTATAACAACGGTGTGAAAGATGGACCACTTTGCATGCGATTCTTTCCGGTCCAAAGCGGCTAATATGAGCCAAACTTCGTTGCAGGGTGTTAAAAACCGCTTGGACCGTTTTTCGTAGCGCGTTCTTTGAAGACATTTTGCGCATGGATATACATAAGCCTGAGGATTTGGAGAAACTTCAAAGCTATTATTTCGCCAAGCTTTTCTTTCTCTTTTTCTTTTAGGAGCTGGCGGTTGTAATGGCGGGAATTTCATCCCTTCAGTTCAATATTTGCAATCAAAGAACGGAACTCAATTTCTTTGGCAAGATTATCCTCTAGGATCTACGAATGTTTGCCAAACCAAAGGCTCCGTTTCCCGACAAATAATCGGACCTACTCTTAGCTACGCGGAAGTGAATTATTATGATGAAGCTGCCCTGTTGCAAGCTGTTAGTCGAGGACCAGTTTTCGTGGGTATTAATGCAGCAGCACAAGGGTTTCAGTACTATGCAAGTGGAGTTCTCAACTTGTCGGCAAACGACTGTAATCCATATGCGTTAGATCATGCTGTGACACTTGTTGGCTATGGTTATGATTCTACAACGCGATTGAATTATTGGAAAGTGAAAAATAGTTGGTCTACGACATGGGGAGAAGGTGGCTATGTTCGTATTGCAAGAGGAACAAATGTGTGCGGCATTGCTACGAATGCGTACGAAGGAACGCTTTGAGTAAACTGGTGTTTTGTGTTGTAACTTTCTTTACTTTATAGTTAGCACCTAAATTAATATGATAGTTTAATACTTCGTGTGAATCTTAGACCTTTCTTGCAACCGCTACCTCAATAAAATAAATCTTTAAATTACTGGCGTTTCGTTCCATTCAATGTATAAGTAGTACCATAAGATCAGAAAAATCAGTTTCTACTTTCGATTCTTTGTATGATAAAAAGCGGGAAAAGTTACCCAAATTTCTTAAAACAGGCTCTGAACGAAGTATAACAGATCGGAGCACTTCTTCTAAATATAGAAAAAGCTTGATGCATGTAATTTTTTAGTTCGGTGCCTTCTTACAAGCGTGTCCTCTATTAGGACTGTATCAAATGTTATATAACCGTATGTGTTCATCAGTAGCTCATTAGTAGCTATACATTCTATGATATGTGTATATCCGCATAATACAATGAATAGTTCACGTGACAATCATAAGATGCCTTTGTTCGTAAAAAAAAAAGAAAGTGCGTGTGTAGATGTTCGTTACTCTTTTAATGCCTCCCTGTTGAAAGACGAAGAGATCTGTAGTAATTATTGTTATTAGAAAAGTACGGTTGCTGAACCACCTCTGTCTTTGTCTCAAAGTATTGTTGTAATCTTATTTTAGATGGGTATTATTACAAGATCGAAGACCACTGCTCTCGCAGCAACAGCTGCTTCTCCGCCCATCAAATACAATAACACAAAAATATGTAGTCGGGCAAAATCTACTTTACATACACGATCTAACAGTAGATTATCCTCTTCGACTCTCCATTCACCGTCTGGGTCGTCTTCATCTTCCTCTACGACCTCGACCGATTCCATTTCATCCGACTTAAATAATTTAAGTCTAAATAACACTTCTACACCATGTGCTTCGTCGCCGCCATCTTTATCTAAAGTTAATCGTGTACCACAATCTGATCCAATTACTATCTTCAAAAGTCTCAGATTAACAGATCAGTTGTGTATGGCAGGATATACTTATCAAGTCAAAGATGCTTTGAAAGATAAGATCAGATGGACACGTAAAGAAAAACGTAATCAGAATCACCTTGCCGTGAAGCAACTAACACAACAAAACATTTAACAACTGAACAAAGTCCTAGATAAACATGCACGAACGTATACTCTGGCTTTTAAAGCATTGAAGAAAGCTGCTTAAACGCTGAAATTGAAACTGAGACCTAAACGAATTATAAGTGACTTTGAAAGTGGGCTTATTGAAATGTTACGAAGTGAGGTAAGGGAGGATATTGCCTTGACTGTTCTGTACAAAAGTATATTTTTATATTTAGTTCATCAGGCGTGGTTTTTCCATTTTCTACAAGCCGTTACCAAAAAATTCTTATCGACCGTGGAAATATTATAAAAAAAATGATTCATTACATTTTATTGAAAAAACTGATGGCTGTCGTTCTGCGTAAACCTGATTATATGGATAATGCCTATCTATTGTTATTTGATGATTATTCGAACATTAAAAAATTGAAACCATATACCACTCAATTGAAGAGACTGTTAGACTATTATGGCAAAACAGTGGATGAAACCGTCAATCAGAACAATGATTTTATTTTATAATGTTCAGTTTAGAACTAATAATTGGAATGAAGCTTACAATTTAGCTTTTCAAAATCGTGCTGAAAAGCCGTATCCCTCAGTCTGGGCTACATCTGTTTTGTTAATAACCGAAGACATTGCAGTGCGATTATCTCACGCGCGAGTATCATGTATTCCTATCGGTTTCTCGGATCATCACAGCATCTCAAAAAAGCATCTCAAGAGGGCTTTCCCTTATGACGGAGTCGATAGCACCATAAAAACAATAGCATATGCGGACGATATTGATACCATTATCTTCAGCAGAAATGAGGAGACTGAGACTATCAAAATGTTTGATCTTTACAAGGCTGTGTTCCTTTTCGTCCTTGCTTTTTCTTGCGGACATCTGAACAATTCTGTTAAATCTTTCAACAATTCATCATTTGCAATTGCTAGATACAGTTTTTGATAACTATCATCATCAAGACACCATTGCTTCAATTCATCCAAAGTGTTTTTAGGGAGAGGCCGTCATTCATTTCATACATTTATTATGCAAGCACATTTTACATGTACGTTGTGTCGAGTAGAATGTTTCGTCAAGAGCTACTCACGTTATTGCGAAGTATTTATGACAAAAACCTAAGAATACATTCTGCAGCAACGCAATCTGTCGCCTTGCTTGATATGTGAGAAAACTATTAAAGAACTTGATAGTTCACAGTTTTTGTTGAAAGTTACTGAGATGGACGGGGATGGATAAGCCATGACGCTGACGACAAGTAGTTGAGCGCTATTCGGAAAAAGACCCCCATCCATCTTTAGTACGTTACTTAATTGTCATGAGTAATTTTTTGTAATGCAGTTTAAAATATACTCAAGAAATACGACATTGAGTTATGGAGATATTCTACAGCCGGATTCGTTGACCACATAAGCTACTAGTGAACTAAATTCAGATTTTCCATTTATCATGCAAATCCTTACCGGAAGCTTCTCTATGTTTTTTGTCATGTATGACAGCTTTGATGATGATTATCATACTGCGATGCTATTCAGCACGTATGTGAGAGTGTGGCAATTAATATTTTTGTATGGAAATCCTTTTAAATAATTAACGGATACACAGCATTTAGGCTCCACTTTTCTTACGTTTCCTGTTTTTTACTAAAACATCCTAGTTTCGGAATCTTATTCTACATTTTCTATTTTTTCAGGTTGTTTCCTTTTTCTAGTAAAAAGATTTAGTTGTTCTAGCGTTTTACAAATTTCTATTTATTTTAAACTACATTTATTGTAAAATAAGCTTCTTGACACTCCTTGCTAAATCGATTCGCCATTTAGCGACATTCTGACGTATGACTTTTATGTGTTTGCTTTTTTGATATTTGAATCTCGCTGAGTTATTTTCATCGAGAAGAAAAGTTACGTGATCTACTGTGAATACACTTTTTTCGAATCAATAGATGCAGAACTTGGTTCTTTGCAGAATTAAACATTGAGTTCCAATATTCCTCATGGAACTCATTTTGTAGCCTTTTATCATACATTCTGTATTGATCCTACTTTTCAATATAAATGCTATAACGGGGTTCAAAGTTCTATGCTGTTATGTTTCCAAATATAACTTGAATAGTATTCTAACTTGTTCACTTTATTTACTAATTACTTGCTAACAAAAACTCCCTATACTCTCTAAAGCACGGCTATTTGTACATAAAATCTACATATAGTTGAAAACACTGGAAACATATGGAACGAAGGGTAAGGACGAAAGAATAATAGAAAAGCACATGACAAACATATGTCGTTAGTAGAACAAAGAGGACAAAGAATGGTACATGACGGAGATATAAGTAAACATGCTAAGTACATAAGAAAAAACGCATATAAAAACTTTAAGTTTATTCCTGACAAAAAGACAGAAACTTAGTAAGTACTTGAATTTTTCGTTCAATATAAATATCGAAGAACAAACATACAATATTAGCACAATCCACTCATATATGTACAAATGTACTTCTGTTTTTACAAGTCTTTCCTGCTTCATCATATATATCGCGTAACTATAGATCAGTAGCTTTTGTACTTTTAGAAGAATTAGCAACCGATAACGTGAGGGATAACAAAGTCGGAGTGACTTGTTCGACTGAATAATGATCGAATAAAACAGCATCTGCATCAATGTTTCATCCTTCTCTTAGTTTTCTCAAGTTTTCATTTGCTTTTATGATTTTATCTTTATGCTGCAATGCATAAATGCCACGTGAATTGTCAAAATCTTCCTTGAAATTCATCTAAAAACACTGTCATTCGCCCTCGAAAATCCAATAGATTGAATGTTTCGTAACACTGACCTGTACTTCATAACATTCTCACTGCGCTTATAATCAAATACGAAGAAGACAGTAGACTATACCATTATATGAATTTCTAGACACACAAACTATGTACAGAGGATTTGTGATTAGTCGGCGCGTGGGTTGAAATCTCTTGACAGCCAATGAACACAGAAATCGAACTCTTTACTAGACTTTGATTCACATAGAGAGTGAGAAAACAGAAAGGTGCGAAAATGATCAATGAAGAGAGGCAAAGAGAAATGATTTTTCATCCGAAGACTAAACGCTTAGAGTCTCAATCTAATACTCCCACACAGTGGAATTAAAAATATGTTGCAGAAAGACAGACGGACAGACAAATGGATTATTTAGCCTCGGACAGACCTTAGAATCTTCAGTCTATGGAAAATCTTTTGCAAATTCACTAATCCAAAATAAATCCTTGCTTACATATATGCAACTTCCATTTTGCAGGCTATAAATCTTCTGGTGTTGCATTCCGAATAGTTTATTCCTGGGCACATCAACTTGTTGGCATTGTCACGTCTTTTTTGTTTGTGTTTTTTATTATGTACAGAAAAAAATAGTTTCAACCTTCCATCTTGTAATAAAACTTCAAAAAGGTCAATTCTACGATAAAGGTCATTTTTTTCGATTTTTTAGACGTTTGCAGTATTTCAGGTTTTTCTCCATGAAAAAAGGACTTTTAAAGATTTTAAAGGTGATATTCGTGATCAGCTCGACAAAACGAATCAGAATGTGTGTGAAAAATCGAAAAATAAAACCCACTTGAATTTTGCATTAGCTGCACCTTACAAATGCTGTTGTATGTTCCATATAGTTGCTAATGATCGCTAAATTTCGCTGTTCTTTTCCAATGGTCAAATGGATTGTAAATAAGGTGACTTGATGCTGACTAAAAAATCCTTGTTGAACGTCACGTTGACGTATTAGTGTATAATTCATTGAGAAATCTATCTGAGCCACAACAAAAGTCTTGTCCGTTGATTGACAACGCTAATCTCTGATATATTCACGTTGTTCACGATTTATGTGTGTGTGTAGCAAGAATAAAGGCCAGCTTTCTTCTATTTCCGTTAGTAGAGAATCAACTGAGCCAGACATCTGCTGAAGGTCGAACTTATTATTGACTTTCTTCCACATGTTCCATGAGCATTCTTCATCCAAATCCACCATATTGTTATCAGTAACCGTATCTATGATGCTTTTCGTTGGACAATGATCACATTTACCATTAAAACACTTTTCATTCGAGACATTGCAAACCATTTCAGTTATCAGATCCTTCACATTGACCTTGTCACTAGACGATAAAGAAACTACACCGGCACATTTTCGGCAGTAAGCGTTCCAAGCCTATAATGAAGTTAAGTTACATTCGAATCAATATATACTAGCACAAACCTTCAATAACAGATCCATATTTTCGTGGATAATACACATGCACGTCTCGTGCGGCGTTGCAGTCTTTACTTCTCGTGGTGGAAGAGCATTAAAAGTTGATCTTGAAACAGCTCCAGGATGTCGTTCGTTGAATAAGTGGTAGACATCTAAGACAGTCATTTCTAAAAATCGAACTGCCACTGATCGCCCGTGAATTTTGATCGTATCTTTGGAATTGGATGAGACTCGACTGATACCATCTTCACAATAGAACCTGACCACAGCATCAATTGTTGAGTCAGATAAAGAATGACTATTTTCTCGTAGACAGTGTGGTTAAGCTAGTATTCCATTTCTTTTTCGAAGAACCAGCGATCGTCGAGCCTGATTTGGCTTTGATTGAAACCTGATAAGTGAACGAAGTTTTTAGTAACATTTGATTGAAAAAATGCGAAAATATTGAACGGAGTGAGGATGAATACACACCA